TTCCTGGTAGGCCGGTCCTTATCCCATTGTTAAAGGTGTGTCCGTCTGCCGGCTGGAGTTGCCAATTGAGTCCTAGCAGATGCATTGCTGCAAGAGAGACAAAGTCATGAAAATATGAATAGATAATTCAGCGCTACAAATGTCCAGGGGCCGGGCCCCTTGCCTTTTTCAAGCCATTACCTTGTAAGGAAGCCTATGCTTAAAAAATGGCTTGCTCCAGGCTGAGGGGTTCACTACTGATCTGGGCACTTCCTCCGGTGCCACCTTCACAGCCTCGGAGGGAGAGGGTGACCTGTGGTCAGGGGATCAGGGAGCAGGAGATAAAACCCATTGCTTCCAAACGGTGCCTCCACCAAGAGGACCAGGGGTTGCATCTTTGGAATTTCTGTCACCTTCAGGGAATCATCCCACCCCATCCCATCGCATCCCATCCCATCCATCCTTTTCCACACTCAAGGCAGGGTGTTTTCTGTCTGGTCATCCAGGGTCCTTGCCAAAGGTAGCTTTCTTCCAGTGTGACTCCGTTTCCAAAGGAGGCTACCTCGGTGGTCCCAGGTACGCCCCTGACTGCACTTCCTCGGACATCCCAGCGAGGCCAGCAGTGTCTGCCCACCTCGCAAACGACTGAACTATTTTACACGTTAAAAAGACTTCCTTTCCCTTCCCTTCCCACAGTCCCAGGTTCATGAGATGTTGGCAGCGTTTGGTGCATTGTAGAAAAAGCCCAGGGAATGAAAAAGGAATACTTTCTTGAGAAAAAGGCTATTTTCCTCCATCTCAAGCTCTCTCTCTCTCTCTCTCTCTCTCTCTCTCTCTCTCTCACACACACACACACACTTCACCAGGGGATATTGCGATTGTTCGTGCTGTAAGGTGGTCCCCTGGTCCCCTTACTCATGGCGACTTCATGCACAATGAGACTGCCATTCCTTTTTCAGGATTTAGAAGTAGATCATCAGGCTTTCTTCCTAGTCTATGTTAGCCGAGAGGCTTTGCTGAAACAACATCCTACAACCTACACACAAGACGGCTTCAAAAAATAGGTGGCAAAAAGGCTTGGAAAGATAATGGAGTTTTTCCACAGCCATTTTGCATTTCCCTCCTGTAAGCCTTCATGGACAGATGGGTGATGGTGGTGTCTGCATTTGAGGTGCCTTTTCTTGGCTAAGTGAACAGGCCGGGAGGTAGAACTCTTGTTTGACTTCCATGTGCACTTCAACTTTCAGACCCAAACTTACTTCTTCACTCCTCCCTGGCCACTTTCTCTCTGCCCCCAATTAGTTTCCCAAGTTCAGTACATCCCATCTTCAAGGCTCTTGGTGAGTTATTCTCCAGCTCACTGCCACAGAACCAATTCTGATTCGCAGCGACCTTTTACCATGGACTAGAACTGCCCTGACTGGAGTAGCAACCCTCATCTTTCACCCAACGAGTGGCTGGTGGTTTTGAACTGCTGACCTTGCAGTTTGCAGCCCAACAGGTAACCACTATGTCACCAGGTCTCCTTTGTTCTTACCAAGTAGAATAAAAGGCAAATCCAACTGCCTGTATGCTTTCAAAGCCCTCATCTAAGGAACACTTCATTTGTGAGCAAATCCGCAGTTGATTCCTCTGCATGGTTCCTATCCAACAATAATTGCCGTGTCTGTCTGGCATTTCAACCGGACACAAGTGGACACTGTTGCTACATTGGCAGCACCAAGGACGAGCAAGGGCTGTTGACAGGGAGACCTTTGGAGTTTGATGCAGGGGTGGGAGAAACAATTAACCACAGGAAATGCAATTAACAATGCTTAGGAAATTGTTCACACAGCAATTAATTCTGCATGCCTACCACTACTAAAAGTCCGGCTGCATTCTATTAAAGCTAAAAGCCCATCTCCAAATAATGCTGCTCAGACCATGGCCCCAATGAAGGTGTCCTTGTGTCCCGGTGTGGATGCCTGCACCTTGTTTCTTACACACACCTGGCCTCAGAACTGCGGCGCCTTCCTAGAGGGTGTTGTCCAATGGGAGCCCCACTGTCGCAAGTGTTCGGGATGATAAATATGCATAAGTGACTTAACTACACACTTTCTGCCAAGGTAACACCTAATTTTCTCCCGTAGTTTATCTGTTATATGTAGGTCACTTACTTGAAGAGACCAGCTTCCTAATGCCTCAAATAATGACATATGTTCGCTGCATAGAGGTCAGGAAATGGAACTAATTGTGGCGGCTTCTAGATAACGATAGCTTCCGATTTGTAATTACCAGGTGAAGGGTGACAAGGAATTAGTTATTTTAAAATGATTTTTTTAAATGAACCTACTGGGTTTTCAGGGCTTGCATGGAGCCAGCTGCTTCTGCCTCGAAGAGGCCATTCATTACTGGAAGTTCTCCTTGCGATTCCAGGTAGACGCAGACAGGTAATACAGGTGCAGCGGAGGCAGGCTGGAGCCTCACTAAACTTTGACTTTCACAGCTAGACAAGGAAGCGGGGTAGTGCCATCAAACAAAGAGGACAACCTCCCCAATGCCCTGTCAATGTGCAAACTCTTGTGGCAAGTGCTCTCCTCCTAGAGTCCTCCATCTCGTCACACCAGGGGGCAGAACAGCCCCCCCCCCCAACTTGGGGAGAGCAGCAAGAGCCCGCACTCCTGCTGAACACACACCGACACTCAGGCGACTGCATTGTCTGTTCCCAGAGGTCTCCCTCCCCCACATCCTTTCTGTAGGGGCTACTCCAGAATCTCTCCTGTTCTAACTCTTTCTCTATAAAATGCCTTCTGAAAACAAGAAAACTACCACTGGGTGAAAAGAATTTGGGTCAAGGTGTACAAGAAACATCTCAGACCACTGTTGGAAGTGAGGCAAAAATCGGCACTCGAGATGGAGATGGGAGGAGGAGAAAAGGTGCCTCTGGGCCACAGGCTCTGTCCCTCCTTCCAGCCAAGGCACAGCCACAGGTATGAGACTCGAGTCTGGGCCCATTTTCAAAGGCTGAGCTGGACGCTACGTAAATACATGAGAATTCTCTCAGGGACATAACCACCTTCAAGGGCAAGAGCTTTATGGAGAATGCCTGACCTTGACCTTCGGTTGCACTTTCTCCCCACCTGGGTCAGCTATCTTCCTTCTGTTTCGTGATTAAGAAAAGGAGGCCGTCCTTTTGGCTAGGGCATGCATGTAAGGGCTTGGGAGAAAGGCTCAGAGAGCAGTGACAGGGATGCAGTCCTTTGACTACGACAAGCCTGCCCTTATTCTGCTCCTCCTGCTTCTGTTCTGGGGCTTGGGTCGAGAACTAAGTCTCTCAACCAATTTCTCCCACGACGCTTTGTCGGGGTTTCTCTTTATGGGTGGACGAACAGCTCCATACGGGCCAGAGTGAGGTCACATGTCTGAAAGGGTAAGAGGTCCAGCAGTGTGAGGACTCTCCCAGGCACTTCCTAAACGTTAATCGGGGACTTGGGTTGTGGACCACTATCATCTTATAAATAAGAAATACACAAAACAGAGGCATAAAGGACGGGCCAGGGAAGCACTGAGTAAAATGTCGGCGAGCCCTCGAAGAGAGGGCTAGTTTGATGATTAGTCTGTTGAACGGTGGTGACTTGAACGTTGCTGGAATGCTGGAAACTACGCCACTGGTGTTTCAAATTCCACCCGGTCTAAGACTAGGAAGAAACGCCCAGTGGTTTCGAATATTCATCCATTTGAAATCAAAAGGGCCACCCTTACCCAAGGGCAAAGTGCAGCAGGGTTGGCAGAGGAGGCGGAAGGGAACCAGTGGAGGGAAAGCGACCAGCGAGAGGAAGCACACACATCTACGGAGGCTGAATGGAAAAGGATCTGTCCCTAACCCTCCACAGTGAAAAAGGAAAACCTCATGCG